AAAAGTTAAAAGTAAATATGTAAATAAATAAAATGCAAAAAAAAAACGCTCTTCTGTGATGAATGTCATGAATTACTCAATTATGTGCGCGCAAGTTTGTTAAATACCGTTTTTGCTGTTCAGTGCCAATAAATAAAATAAATTGTTGATACTAGCAAATAAATGTAAATGATACAGAAGAGATTAAAACGCGTAAATATTGACGGCTAGTAAAGTGAATGACAGATGAGTGTGTTAACATAGGTTTTCATTCCAGTTTTTTTATACCCGAGCGCACTTGTGCACAAGGGTATTATAACTTTGTTCACATAACGGTTGTTTGTAACAGGCAAAACGAATCGAGATAGATATAGACAAATGTATACATAAATGATCAGGATGAAAAGAGAAATCGATTAAGCGGTGACTGTCTGTCCGTCCGTCCGTCCGTCTGTCCGTCTGTGCACACGATAACTCGAGTAAAAATTGAGATATCTTAACGAAACTTGGTACGTGCACTTCTTTCGGGCGTAGGACGGATGGTATTGAAAATGGGCAAAATCGGACAATAACCACGCCTACCTCCCATATAACGGTAATTTTCAGAAATACAAAAACTGCGATAGTTTCGTAACTACTGAAGATAATTCACTCAAAATTGATATTTATAATAAATTCTAGACGAAAAATAAGAATATTATAAATTTTTGGAAAATGGGCGTAGCCACGCCCAGTTATGTTTACATGTGTATATCTTGGTAACCGCTGCACCAATTTCTTCCAAACTTGGCACAGTTGTTAACCTTGGTATAACATGCGAAATGGCCGAAAATTTTTAAAATAGGACAATAATCCCATATAATGTAAGTTAATGTATTTTCAAAAGTACTTAATCCGGAAATTTAATATATACTCTTATTACTTGATTCTACATATCGTGCACTTTCTTCAAAGGGGTATTAATTCAGTATTTACCTTATCACTTTAATTGAATAAAATTTTTCAACTAGTTGGCAACCCGCCAAAAAAATATTTTCGGCAGTAAATTTTCCTAAACCTCTTCATTTTGATACCCATATTGCAATATTTAATTTTCTTATCAATTAAATCAAATTAAACTTTTCAAACAGTTGGCAAGCTTCCATAAAAATATTTTCGATTGTAAGCCTTCTTAAACTTCTGTCTTTTGTCAACCATATTACATTATTTACTTTATCTTCTTAATTTACTTAAACTGGAATTTTCAAACTGGTAGGCATTCTCTAATTATTTTTTTCCTATGTTTTAAGTTAAACCGGTAGCAGTGCATCGGTAATAACTGCACTACATTTCTCCCAATAACTTTCGAGTGATGCGCGTATAAACATACAGACAGGTAGACGGACATCAGAAATTCGCCGCGATGTATAGCTTAAATTACCCACAAAGGAATGAACTGCGAAGCACTACATATATGTATAACTATATACGACTGCATAAATATACACGGGTATACATAAGTATGTGTGCTTTTGAATTTACCACAGTAATGACAACATTTCATTTTCAGAGCAAACATTCACTAACTGCCTGCTTAGTTAGACAGTTACGCTAGTTACATAAATAGTTGAACTTTCGATGGCTACCTTTATGTACATACATACATACATATGTACGTAATATTTGTGGCATGCAGTCACGTACAACACATTTGTTGCACTTTTCATTTTCGGTTGCAAAATTTCCAGACTGCGCTTGCATGCAGCCTCCTATAAATATACCTCTTTGAATTTTCATTTTAGTTACACTTGGACTTTAATAACATTTTAGCAATGCAAATTGAATAACACTCGTATGGTGGGTTGCCAATTGTCATTATCATCTATGAAAATGAAATTGTGTAAGCAATCGCTACGAGTTGTGTGTGTGTGTTTTGGCATCTGTTAAAAATTACTTAAAAAACATTTAGGTGGGCTTTATGCCACTACAGGCAACTGTAGTTCGCCAAATGAATGTTCATACGGTAATTATTAACTGAATTGCAGTGACCTAGAAATACTCGTCGTGTGGCATAGCAAATTTATTCGCTGTTCAATCAGCTTTTGTGTAATTAAGGTTTTTTTTGCTTCATCTTCTTTTTTCTTCTGTTGTGTACAATCTTTTGCTATATCGAATCACTCTCCTTTAGTAAAGCCTCTTGAGGTCTAGTGAATTAAATTCACCATTTTGGTGGTGTTCTAATAGCAGTTCAGCGTAGATTTTGCTCGAAATCAAAACAAGGACTTGATTCTCCAACAGCTCAGTGTGAATGTGCGGAGTTGCTTGGAGCAACTCTTTATTTTTAACCGACTTCCAAAAAAGAGGAGGTTATCAGTTCGACGGAATATTTTTTTTTTGTATGTATGTTACCGCATAACTTTGCACCACGTCAACCGATTTCAATAATTTGCAACGGAAAGGTAGTGTCTCAGAGGTGGTCCCATACTAATTTGGTTTAGATCCGATCATTGGATCATGAAATATATAGATATATATATATTTTTTTTAAGTCGGTTTTTTTTTGCTAAAAATTACTTGTTGCCTCTTATATTCCACCGAATAGTAGCTTGTATATCAACGCTCCTGTAGATAATGTTTTGCATCTAAGTTTCAGAATTGGCGATCATCACCCCTGTGCATGCTCAGGGATCATAATTTGGGTAATATCTTTTGGAATATCCTTAAAAAATCATCATACTGTGAGACATACGTAACAGACAGCTTGCTAAGCATTGGTCTGTTGCAAATTAATGGAATTGTAAATAAACTTGAGACTATTTTAGACCAAATGTTTATTAACTATATATGTATAACACTGTAGGGACGCTAAAATGAGCCCGAAAAAAAAACGCCAAAACACGTAATGTTAATATAGGTTCGTAGATTACGGTTATGTACACCATTTTTCTAGATCAGGTAATTTTCCTAAGATATTTTGATTTTAAGTTTGTATTGCGAATGTTACTCATACACCCTGTACGACTATGTACTTGTAGGTCCTAGACTGTAGGATCATGTGCGATATGGCTACGGTGACCATTCGTACCGCTTTTGGCGGCACAGTACCGATTTTAAGAAAATTGTCCCGCTGAATATTTTTCAAAAGTCTAAAGTGTAAGATTTGTCATATTTGTGCCTATTAAATTCCGCTTTTTAGTGTTTTCTTCAGCATCCTAATTTTAATATGATTTTGGTTATTTTTTATTCTGTCAAACTGGTACTCTCGCTATACTGCAGTCCATCATTCTTGTCTAATTTTTTTGTAAGTTTTTTATAATTATTTGTTAATTCTTTTAATGAAACTATTCTAACTTCAATTGAAGTAAATTATAAACAATAACACTAATTCCCTCAAAAAAATTAAAATTACTAAAATTCGACAAAATCTCATGAAAACTTTGAACTTTTTAATTTGATTTCTGAGAAACATTCTGAGTATGCAGTTTTGTAGCCCATTCAATTCAAAGTGCAAATTTTAAGTAGGCGAGAAATACCGTTGATTTTTGGTAAGTTTTTTTTGTGGAAGGTGTTGCTCATTTTCTCCATACAAAAAAAAAAAACAAAAATGTTCAACATACTTTGTATACGCGAACCGTCAAAAATCAGCGGTAAGTCCAAACTACTTCAAACTTCCACTTTACAAAGTTAGTAAAATTTAATGGGTTACAAAACTTCATACTCAAAACAATTCTAGAAAATCTGATACAATTTTTTTAAAATTTTGATCAACATTTGTTAAAATTCATTGTGTTTTTATAAATATTTTAAAAAATTTGAAATTTTGATTTAGATTTTTTTTTTCTTAAATAGTAAGTTATATTTTCATAAAAAAATAATAAACATTTTTTAAACAAAGAAAAGTAGCCAAAACTTGCTAAAATGTCTTTTCCCTATTTACATGCTCGCCACCTTATATATAGCGCGTTTAGCGCAATAACTTTAAAGTGCTTGAGCTTCCACTACACGAAAAGCAAAGCTGCTGATGCTTAAATCAGGGATCAGACGATTTGTGAATTTGTACAATTATACAGTCACAGAGTGGGGTTGTTTGCAAATTTTTTATTGAGCTGAACTCTCTCTCGATAAAAATTCCTAGACAAACTTTAGACTAAAAAAATTCTAACCTAACCATTTTTGAAATTTACTCTAAATGAATAACCCTTTACTTCTAAAACTGTTTTTAGATACATATTATAGAAAGTGCAAAAATGGCAGCTAATGCTAAATGGAGAAGCAAATTTAATTTCAACGCTCACTTGCTGTTTGATTTTTTAACCAAATGGAAAATGCGACGAATTAAAATTTTTAGTTCGCATATGCGGATGTGTGTATGTATGTATGTGTGACGCACGAAAATGAAATTTAACTAAAAACATTGTTGGTTTATAAAAGTGCACTTTATTAAAAAAAAAAAAAACATGTGCATTTAAATTCGATAAATACAGAAGTTCGCCAGCTACATACATGTGGCTTTAATTGTATTTAGTTAAGTGAAATATTCAATTTAAATGTAAATAATTTTTTGTGAGTGCCCTGGTGCGAATTTGCGAATTGTGATTAATAATAAATCTAAAAAGTGCTTAACACTTCCATCAATTTTGTGCGCTATTACCATAATGTAGTGGATCGGTGCAATTTAAATTTTATATATATATATTTTTTTTTTGTGATTTTTTTTTAGTATGTACTCGTATTTAAAATATTACTTTTGCAACTACGTGCTAACAAAGTTATAGTTGTACTTGATTTATTTTTAATTTTTGCATTGAAAGTAAGTGCGCTTGTGCATGGAAAATCGTAATTCGTTTTTATAGTGCGATTTTTAATTAAATAAAAAAAAAAATGCAGAGAACTTTTACTTTCTCTTATAAACGCAAACGGTGCTGCAAAAGCAAAAGTAAAACCAAAAACAAAAAATAAAAAATAAATAAATAAACAAAATAAACCTTGTACGCCGCTTCAAAACCGATACATACCCTGGCCGTTGAGGAGTCGCCACTCACCCTGTGACCGCCGAGATTATTGACCACGCACGTGAAGGTCGCATCGCGTCCCTGCGCCACGGTGACATTCTCCAGCGGAAAGACGAAATCCGGCTCGAATGCGCCCACTGTCGAGATTTGGTTGGAAATGGAAATATCTACATTTCAATTGTTTTGTGAATTTCAGTGCATTTTGATTTGTAGCGTAAATTTGCATTGTAATTTTTTTTTTGTTTTTTTTTTTTATACGATTTTATTTGTGTTTTTTTTTGGTGGTTGGATGAGGGAAAAGGTTTTTGGTTGTTGGATAGTGGAAATTTTTTTTTTTTGTGAGATTTTTTTACATACAGTTGCAGATTTTTTTTTGTTTTTTTAACACACAATTTTACAATTTGTTGTTTGGCATACGATTTGTGAATGGAAATATGGGGCAAATCAATTAAGCAGCATTGAAAAAATCGCGTAAAAAAAGATAAAAAAGAACAAATTGAACAAAACGCATAATTATAAAAATTCATAGTTGCAAAAGTTTTGTTGTCTATTTTTTTTTCAATATTATACATAATTGAGCATACAAATACATAAGTACATAAGATTGACTACACATAATACATATATAATTGAAATTTTTTGTTGCAAATCAAATGTAGCAACATAAGAAAGGCGCAACAAATGTTGGCAATCATCTGCTGTGCAACACAAACGCAGTCACACGCGGTTATCACACACACACTCACATTCACTGCAGGAAAGATTTAGTACTCGCTAGTTTTGCAAAGAAAATAATATTTAATCGATGCTAAGACAAAACTTAATAAGAAGCCAATAATGAATGAGAAAAATATATTTTTTATTTATTTGGTTGAAAAGCAGTGCGAAAGAATTCACTTCAGCCGTTCAGGAAATGTTTTTTAAATTTGTGTGGTTTCTCTGATATTTACATAGGACCACAAAAAAGAAACGTCGAAGAAAAGTTCTATTGACCAGACCAAGCATTTAATATGTCTAGGTCGCTGAACACGTCTGGATTCCTTTCTAACCGCAAACATACTGGCGGACAAAATTTTTTAGATTTTGAGGGGTTAGCTATAATTTTTGTAGTTAGGGATTTTTGGAGTCGCTGATTACGAAGTATTTCCAGCTTTTCCCAATCCAAAATGATGGATCCAATATGGCGGAAACTTTTTTTTAATTATGAATTTACATAAAACTTGGTATGCAGGGATTTTTGAGGGCAGTGATTATGAATTTGAAATCAGATTTTCAAAATTAAAAATAGCGGCTCCAATATGACGGCAAAGAGAGAGTCCCTAGGTCAGTGTGCCCAAGATATCTTTGGCTTTCCTAATTAATGCCAAAAATGGTCTTTGTAGGCGAATTATTTATAAAAAAGTGTTCAACCATTGGAACCTTAAAAAGGATACATTTTTATATGTCTAAAGCCGGACAGTAACCGAAAATATGTTCGTTTTCAAGGCAAAGTCGGCCCCCAGTTTCTGTGATCACACCTTTTCGGTGTAAGTATGTGGAATCGCCGTCGGTTGTAACCAGTCACAAAAGTCAGGTACCCAGAAAGTTGCCTGATGCCATTTATATTTGTTGAGACAGTATTGCTTTTGATTAAAAGGGCAGCCGAAGAGCCTGGTCTGGCCCCCAACGGCTCCCCCACTCAGTAAATATGACTATAGAAGAGGCCCAACTGAGACCACAGAACGGCAGTTAGCGGTACTTCTCGTGCCAACTCGTCGGCGGCCTCAATTCCTTCGATTCCACATTGGCCTGAAACCAAACACAGTGCTACCGTGTTTTTGACTGGCAAAATTTGTAGCCTGCCAATGCAGTCCTGTTTGAAATGGTCCGGCAGGCTGCTTGTCTATCTAAAAAAAAGATAACTAGAAAGCGCCTTTAAAACCTTTTCAAGTTGTAATTTTGCGCAATTAAAGATTGCGAATGTTTGAGGCACGAAAGTTGCCAGGTCCAAGAGTACCTCCACACGCTCTATTCTCCTTGCCTGAACCATCTGTGTACCAGGGTACGAATCTGCAATCAAGTGCGGGGTGCCCCATTTGCCCAATCTTCGTTATCGAGGATTTTCACTTGGAACTTTCTGGCAAAACAGATCTCTTTAGTAATGGAAATAGAAATTCCGAATATTTACAACTCCGCTATCCAAGTATATCTTGTTTGTGTAGAAGCCGTCGTTATATAGTCGAAGTGGCACCACCCTCCTGTCCAAACTAGAAAGGACTCTAGAACCGAAGTTGAGCATTTGCTCTATTGAGCCAGTGACGGATGAACATGCCACTCTGTGCAGTTTGGTAAGGTGTAGTACGGGAGTTTTTTTTTGCAGTCTCTTCTGCCGCCACGCTGCAGATGAATAGGACGAAATCGAACATACGACCACACTATAGAGCCACTCTATCAGACTTGAGCTCAATGCCCGTTCTTTCAAAAAGTCTTCTCCACATGGCCCCTCAAGAATGGAAGTTCTAGTTGATTTCCCTTTGAGATAAGCATAAAGCGTGAGATGTAACGGTGCGAAAGTGTTAAGTTTCTCCCTGATATGAAGGTCCAATAGTCTCTTGTTAAGTTTTGAGAGTGAAGGAAGTTAGATTAGTAACACGAACACCTTTTTTCAAGCGTACGATGTGTGTTCCCAGCAATAATAATCCTTAAATAAAAAATACAGGGGATCAGTGATCTCCTCGATACTTATTTGTAGTAGTAGTGCTGGGGAAATTCCATAGCTGCTTTAAATGGTTTAAAAGACCGTACATCGTAACTTGTTCCTGTCAAAAATGGGCCCAGATATGCTATGACTTTTCACTCTAGGGAACTTATGTGCCTAGACACAGAGGTCATCAGATCTTGCTTCATCGAAGAGGCTGGGAAATGTACTTTATGCAGCTGATTTAGTAAAGGTGTCATCTTGCCTCCTTTAGAGATCTGGCACAAAAAAGGTTTAAAAATACTCACGCAATCCTTGCATAGTGAACTGAAACACATAAAGAACTGCTGGTACAAAACTACGGCAAGTGCACCGAATGGTATGCACATGCCAGGGGAAATAAGGGTCTGCCCTACTGATGCATTCGGTACTCTGGTGTCAATATCTCATTCCAACGCACAATAAAGAGGGGGACCACCATTGCAGCACTGATGATTCTAAATATCTCCCGCTTAAAAATCGGAAATATGACGAGTAATTAAATTTGATGATCGAGTATTCTGGGTATGGGAAACACTTATGGATTGATCAAAACTGGAGGATAGAAAAACTGGGGCTGGTATATCTGCGCCGAATTTTTCTATGGGAAATTCATGCAATCGAAATTGCGCAAGAGTGAGACTATTTTATTTATTTTACAGAATGCATCTGTACGTCGTATTATCGTTAACTAAAGAAAAAAAGGTGCATCTCGCCCTGATGAAGATAAACGATTAATAGGCATGTTTAAATTCAGGCTACAGAGACATAAATCCCAAAAAGTAGCAATTAAGTGATTTATAAACATTTAAACTTAGAACAACTTAAAGCCTAAACTTCACCATGAACAAAAAAAAACGCTACCGCAAAAGTCAGTATAAATTTAATTGAAAGCAAAAATTAATTAGTTT